TGAAATTTTGAATTTCTAGTGAAATTTTGAATTTCTAGTAAAATTTCGAATTTCTAGTGAAATTTCGAATTTCTAGTAAAATTTCGAATTTCTAGTGAAATTTCGAATTTCTAGTGAAATTTTGAATTTCTAGTGAAATTCTGAATTTCTAGTAAAATTTCGAATTTCTAGTGAAATTTCGAATTTCTAGTAAAATTTCGAATTTCTGAAATTTCGAATTTCTAGTGAAATTTCGAATTTCTAGTGAAATTTTGAATTTCTAGTGAAATTCTGAATTTCTAGTGAAATTCTGAATTTCTAGTGAAATTTCGAATTTCTAGTGAAATTTCGAATTTCTAGTGAAATTTGGATAAAATTGCGATATTCTAGATTTTCTGGTGAAATATTCCATATTTTCTTTCCGATTGGGCAATTCGCTTCCTGCACATACATATTCCATTTAATGACATTTGTCTGTTAGGTTCCATTCCCCTCCAACAGTAATTTATTTTAGGTCTCTATTTATTTATGTTGTCATCTCAATACCAAACAATAATGATCAAATTGTTTGGATGATTTAATAACACGCGTGCGTATCCCATTTTGGTGTTTTTTTATAACAAAAATTTGTTTCTTCAATATTTATATTCATTTCAATTAAAAATGTTGATTAGTTGGAAAAGGGGAGTTGGAAGGGCAGACAATGTTCTATCAATTGTTCGATTCAATTAGACGAAAAAAAAAAACATAAATATTTGTGCTCATTCTCAAACAAATACATTGTCTCAAATGACACTATTTTTATTATTTAATGATTCCTTTATAGTTACGAATTAATCAATAGCCATCATCATAATATTTAATTGATCAACTACAACACACTTTCAAAATTTCTTTTCATTTAGGAAATGGAAACAAATTATAAGAAAAGGGGGAAAATGAATTAGTTTTAATTTCTTAAACGAATTTCAATTTGTATTACATTTGTTTATTGTTTTACATTAAATTTCTCTTACTTTTTAAACAAATTTAAAATTACTCTTTTAGTTTACTCTTGAAATTTATTTAAGAATTTTGTTTGAATGAATCAGTTTCTAGTGCCGCCTTTGTATTTTTAAACATTTTTTACCCACATTTACGCTTTTTTGTTTAACTTGACATTGTGGAATGTTAAATGCGGTTTATGACGTTCCCGGCTGCACGTATGAATTGTATGTCTTTATAGCTGCTCTCTGCCAACTTGTTGCTTTCATTTTATAATGACGAAATTTTAAAATGTTTTAATGTAAATCACAACGGAATCTTTATTTCATTATTTTTATAAACAATTGCACTTTCTTTTGCAATAATAATGAAAAGAAAATTTTAATCTTTAAGAGAGTGAATTATAATTTGAAAGATTTTAATAGAATGTGTTAATATAAAGTTTAAATAGTCTATTAAATGAAAAAAAAAAATCGTTTATTTATTGTTTATTAAATAAATCAACAATAAGTGAAAAATACTTAATAAAGCATGTTTAATAGTTTGGTTAACATTTCTTGCGGTTTTAACAATTTTTAACAGTCAATGTTAAAGTCAACACCAAAGTTTTTTTGTTAACATGTGAAAAAAAGCTTTTTGTATTGGCTGTTTAGGTACAAAATCGGCAATCTCCATTTTTGTTCAAATAATCATATAAGGCCAATTGTGAAAGATTGTGATCTCCAATTTCACATAAGATTTGCCGCAACCTTGTATATGTGAATTTAGTTCAAACATGCTTAAAATCATCATTCTATCCTTTTATATTAAATTGGGAAACTTATAAATCTTTTTTTTTAAATTGATAAAAGTGAAGATTGATACCTTTGCTTCTATATAAGTATATCTTTCGTCAGAAATCTCTGTTACTTTTGTTAAAAGCTTTCGTCTTGTTGAAACATTGAAAAGTGTTACCAGAAATTTATTTTTTATACCCACCACCAACAAATTTAGGGGTTAATTACACAGGCCGACAAAATTTAAAAAAAGTCCAAACACTGACAATAACTTATACTTTTCTAAAGGCCCAAAAATTGCGTTTTTCAAATTTCAGGACACAATATCTCAAATCCTAGATATGATGGTGAAAATCTAAGTTCAGCTTTAGATTCAGCGTGGTTCACAAGTATAAATTGTCTTGGCAATGTTATACGTCTCGAAAATGACCAAAATTTACGTTTTTTCAAACTTCAGGACACGATATCTCGAATATCTCGATGTAATGGAGAAATTCAGAGTTTCTCAATCTTTTAGAAAAGTATACTTTGCAATGTATACCTGTGTTATCATTCTATTTGTGTATTTGGTGATAACGGTCGCGACTTCCCGTGTCTAGATTTGATCAATTTTTATTATGCTAACCTTCAAATCGTTATCACGACAAAAATTTAGCGGGATCAAAATAAGAAAAATTTTTATCCCTAAATAAAAGATTGAATTTTGGTACTTTTTAGTTTTTGTATCCACCCACACATCGAAATATTGGTCTAAGACCCACAAAATAATATATATATATTCTGGGACTATCTAGACATATCCGTTTGTCTGCCCGAACGGTAGGAGCTAGTGGGCTGAAATTTTCTATAAATATTTTATATTAATGCAAGTAGTTTGATATTGATAATGGGCAATATCGGTCCAGGTTTTCAATTAGTTCCTACATACAAATGTTTCCCGGGAAAACAGGCTTTACAATACTGATATAGTAACTAAAATCTATCTACCAAAATATATGATTATTATGTGGATCGGTACATAATTGACAATACCCCTAATATAACTCTTGTTACAGAAAAACAGTTCATTGTCAAAATAAATCGTTCCAGAAGTTAAAAATTATGATAAAATTAGATTTTTTATCTTAGGACGATTTCGGCTCTATTCTGAAAATCCTACTTAAGTTCAAATTAATAACGATATATAATAATAAAATTCTGCATAAGGTTGAAACCCGTTATCGCTAAGCTATTGTTACAAATATCTTTTCAGCACTACTACCGTTACCGCTGAAATATCAATAAGTCGAAATAACCATGTGTAAAAATTTTGTGCCACCAATAAATCAGAAATCAACCAATCTAACGCCGTTGCCATTTCTTGTCTCGCCATGACCTTGCGAGCTCATTACCGAGGCTATATCTCACTGTTATGAAACGCTCGGATATGGTTTTATATAACAAAAGGGCACTTTTTGCCCTTGATGATAGCAGAACACCAACCCAATTTATCCGGTGTTCTGCATTTCCTGAAAAGAGGAAATAGTAGCCCCTCTGAAGGTTTGTGGCCAGCGTACTTGACTTAACCCAAGGATGTCAGAGCTATAGTTTGACATTTCGTTTTGTACTTGATTAAGTTTCGTTGGTTCTGAGAAAGTTCTTACGTTTCATATTCCAAACATAAACCGGGTTCTGAATTTATATATCGTCATGAGAGGGGATTTCAGTTCTTATATAGCTTGTTTGATGTTTCTGTAATCAAGGTTTTTAAAGATGTATGCCTGATCGCATCCGCATCTAGTGCTGGGGCTGCCAGCAACCCTCTAGGTTTGCTGATGGTAAATATTTTAAAGACCTTTGGGCGCCACTGTGGGCCATTCTCTTAGCTTCTCCGCTGCCATCCCTACTGCACAATCCCATCATAATCGTACAAGGAGTAACACACCATGTTGAGGTGCTGTAGGTATTTACTCCATGCTGTGCTTAGGGTTATACCGCCCACGATCGGTCGTCAGAGCCTCGTTAGTGTGACAAAGGACACCAAGTCTCAGGTGGACAGTGGGATGAAGGGAATTGTCTATGTGAACAAATTGCGACATTTGTATTCGCATCACTCTCGCATTTGACCTCCAATAATGACCTCCAGTTCGAAATTCACTTTGTTTATATAGGATATTTTAAGAGGCCGATATCACGAGAAGTACTTCAACTTCAATTACCATATCATGCGTTTTACAGTTGGAAAATGAAACTTCGTAATATTTTAGTTTTTTTAGTTTGTTTTTATTGAAAACTTAATTTTCAAAAATAAGGCAAACAAAGAAAGTAACATTCGAATTAATAAAAATAATTACATATTACATTATGTGTAGAATTTCAACCAAACTTGTAATTAAACCTTTTTTATTAACAAAATAAAATCATGTTAAGTATACAATTTCAAATAAACACAATCAATAAATATTAATTAAAAAAAAAAGATTTGTTATTTGAAATAAAATCTTATTGACAGTATTAATTTTCTTGTTGTTCAAATTTTAAAACGCAATTTTATTTGTTAAAGAAGTTAGGTTTTTTTTTAGTTTATTTGTTGATCAAATATTTTATTATAAATTAAACACATACAATTAATTTATTTTAGGTTTGTTTGTATGTGTAATTTAATATGTTTATAAGGTTGCCGCTTCTGTGTATACGATATAGGTATTTATAATGGTCTTGGGTATGCGCTTCTAATTTTAAATAATTTTTTCTTTGATATTAATTTTAATTAGGTTTTTGTAATTCTTTTTTCTTGTCATTAAAGGTTTTTGTTTGCAAAAAAATAGTTTTAAAATAAATTTTTAAAATAAATAATTTTTTTTTATTTTAATATATATGTATATTTTTTATTTATGTATAGTATAATATAGATTATGTATAATATAATTAATTTTTATTTTATTTTAATAAATTCCGAAAAAACAGTCATGTTTAAATTTTGTTTATATAATATAATTTTTATTTTTTTTTTTATTAATTTATTTTGCATAAATATTTTTTTCTGTTAAAATATAATGCGATGAGCCACTTAATTTTTTCTTTCATTTAAATGAATAATAATTTTGAATTTTACATAAATACATAAAATGATCTTTTTGATAATAATAATTTTTTTTATATTTTTTTTATGGTTGAGTTTATAATAATTTACAATATTTATGTTTTTAACATGTATGAGGATGTATTTTTTAGTTTCTTGTTAATTAAACATTAATTTTTGTTTTTTATTTTTTTTTTTTTAAGATTGATTTAATAAATGCCAAATATGTAGGAATGTGGGGGTGGGGGTTGATTTAGTAAATTTTACATATATTGTTTCTGATATTGTAACAGATCTTCTAAGGGAATTAAATTTCCTTGATAAGGAGGGAAAATTGTATCGAATAAGTTTGTAAGAACAGCACTTTTTAAAATTTGAATGATTTTTTTCTAATTTTTATTTAATTATAGTCGAGACTATAGTCTAAACTATAGTCAAGAGTACAGTCTAACCTATAGTCAAGAATAAAGATTGAACTATAGTCGAGACTATAGACTCTATACTAAATTTTAAACTATAGTCAAGACTATAGTCTAAACTATAGTAAAGAATATAGTCTAATCTATAGTCAAAAATAGTCAATACTATAGTCTAAACTAAAGTCAAGTCTACCAAAGTCAAGGCTATAGTCTCAATTATAGTTAAGAATATAGTCTTAACTATAGTCTAAACTATAAGACAAGACTATAGTCTAAACTAAAGTTAGGATTATAGACATGACTACAGTATAAACTATAGTCAAGACAATATATGTAGTCTACGCTATACTCAAGACTAAACTACAGTCAAGACTATAGTCTACGCTATAGTCAAGACTATAGTCTATGCTATAGTCAAGAAGTTTAATCTAAAATCAGGACTATAGTCGAAACTATAGTCAAGATTAAAGTCTACCATAGTGAAGCCTATAGTCTAAACTATAGTCGAGACTCTAGCCAAAACTTGATAATATTAAGACCAAAGTCTTAAAAGGCTTCAGTTTAGACTATAACCTTGACTTTGGTAGACTATAATCTTAACTATAGTTTCGACTATAGTCTTGACTATAGTTCAGACTATACCAAAGTTAAGGGTATATTCTATAATATAGTCATGCCTATGGTCTAAGCTATAATGGAAACCATAGTCTAAACTAAAGTACAAACTATAGTCTAAACTATAGTCAAGGCTATAGTCAAAACTGTACTATAGTCTAGAGTAAAGTCAAGACAATGGTCTAAACTATAGTCAAGATTTTAGTCTGAACGATAGTCAAGACTATAGATTAAACTATAGTCCAGATTATAGTCTGAACTATTCTATAGTATAAACTACAGTCAAGACTATAAATTAATCTATAGTTAAGACTATAGTATAAATTAAACTATAGTATAGACTATAGTCAAGACTATAAATTAAAATATAGTCAAGACTTTAGTCTAAACTATAGTCCATATTATAATCTAAACTATAGTTGAGAGTATAGTCTGAGCTATACTATAGTCGAAACTATAGTCTGACGTATACTATGGTCTAAACTAAAGTCAAGACTATATATTAATCTATATTCAAGACTATAGTCTGAACTATACTATTGTTTAAACTACAGTCTAAACTTTAGTCGAGGCTATAATCTGAACTATTTAGATTATAGTCTTAACTATAGTCCGAGCTATACTATAGTCAAGACTATAGTCAAAACTATAGCATAGACTATAGACGAGATTGTGGTCTAAACTATATATAGATTTGACTATTGTTAAGACTATAGTCTTAGCTATAATCGAGACTATAGTCTAAGCTATAGTCGAGACTATAACCTAAGCTATAGTAAATATGGAGTCAGAGCTATACTATAGTCTATACTAAAGTCAAGACTTAATCCTGGCCTGAATAAATTAATCCCTTAACTGATAAGATCTGTTACAAATTTTTAGAAATCTAAATAATATTATGAAGTAGTGTAAATGATGATAATTTTTATATAGTATTTTTTTTTTTCATAAATTACATAAAACGCTCTTAGCGCAATAAGCCGCAAAAGGACTTTGAGTGCATTACAAAAATGTGCCAAGATCAAAAAGAGCAATTTGCGGATAAAACCGAAATAAAAAGGAAATGAAGAAAGGTAAAAAGCTTTTCTAAATTCTTACAGCGTTACTAATATAAATACTTTTACAAACCATATTTATTTTTAAAAAAAGGTCCATTTATCTTTGAATCAGACTGCTTGACATTACATGTATGTATTTTTTTTCTCATTTAGTTAACATTTAGGGTTTTTCTTCTCATTACCATACAAATATTTTTTTAAGTGTAGTTTTTTTGTATAGTTTAAATAATTAGTTAGTTAATTTTTTTTTTTGTATATTTACTTTTAAATATTGATATATTTTACATAAATGCTTTTACATCAATTGCACGTTAAATACAAATATAAGTTTCTTAAAAAAGAAAAAAAAAAAACATATTTTTATCGTAAAATTTGACACAAAACATATTTGATTTAAAAAAAGTAGTAAAAATGTTCATAGAAAACGTAGTTTATAGTTAAAATAAAAAATACTTTCTGGGGGCAAATAGTTTTTTTTTTCAATATTTCAAAAACTAAATATTTTGAAATATTTAGTTAAATTTAGTTTATTTTTGGTATATGGTGTGGTATCTTACAAATTTTTTACTATTTACGTTTTTTCTGTTTTTTTTTTAAGTAAACGCCATTTTCTTTTATTACTTAAATTTGGGAAATTGACGTTATTATTTTAGATATTTTTATTAAACGCAACTTTAAAAGAATGACTCGGGCTTGTAGGGTATTGAAGGTTTAGCAATGGATCTTTTCTTTTTAGCCACCATGAAACGTTTGTTGTTATAACCTAAAATATAAGAAAACATTTATAACTGGAAAAATTTTGGGTTTGGCTTCAAAACTTACGATTTCCATTTGTATTTAAGGGAAAACCATCACTGTATTTATTTTCTCTTGGTAGCTCCCTGGGCAACTCATATTTGCTCATGGCATCCATGTTAACGGGCACTCCATAATAGTCCACCATTGATTGTGGCTCAAACCAGCCATTATTGTTATTGTAATCTAAACTTTCATCGGCTTGAGGCATTGTGGGATAATCGTAAACATTACCAGCGGTATTGTAATTATTATTAAGTCCATAGGTTTTGGGTACATAGTTTTCAGAGGGATAGGTATAGCCAGCATCGGCATCTGTATCTTTGCGGGCACGTTCACCGGCTTCGACAAGTGCTACCAGGGCTAACATATCGGCTGGGGTTAGTTTTGTATCACGTTTCAATCTGAAAAGGAAATTAAAGGCATAGGTTAGGAATACAGTTTTCTATACGAAAAGTGTCTTCTCTGAAAGAAATATAAGTGACTTCATTCAAAGTCGGGAACGTGTCTTCAATTGAATATGATTTTTGATAGAAAAAGTGTCTTCAATTCAAGACGATTTTCGATAGAAAAAGTGTCTTCATTCGAAGGCAGTTTTCTATAAGAAATGTATCTTCTCTGGAATACACTTTTCTATAAGAAGAAAAGTATCTTCTCTAGGAAATGTGCCTTCTCTACAAAATAGAAAAAGAGTCTTCTCTGAAAGACAGTTTTCTATTAGAAAAGTGTCTTCTCTGCACGACAGTTTTCTTTTAGAAAAGTGTCTTCTCTGCACGACAGTTTTCTATAGGAAATGTGTCTTCTTTGGACTACAGTTTTCTATACAGCCTTCTTTGGATGACAGTTTTCTATACAAAAAGCGTCTTCTCTGGACGTATGTCTTTTTTAGAAGACAGTTTTCTTCAGGAAAAGTCTCATTGGAAGACACTTTTCTATAGGTAAAGTATCTTCTTTAGAATTCACTTTTCTATAGGAAGAGTGTGTTTTATGGAAGTCAATTTTCTATAGGAAAAGTATCTTCTATGGAAGTCACTTTTCTATAGGGAAAGTGTATTCTATGGAAGACACTTTTCTGTAGGAAAAGTATCTTCTATGGAAGTTACTTTTCTATAGGAAGAGTGTTTTCTATGGATGTTACTTTTCTATGGGAAAAGTGTTTTTTCTGGAAGACAGTTTTTTGTAAAAAAAAGTTTCGTTCTGGAAGAAAATTTTCTAAAGAAAACAATCTTAGTTTTCTATAGAAAAATGTCTTCATTTGAAAATCGTTTTCTACAAGAAGTTTACAAATTAATTACCTCATATCGGGGAATTTACTGGCCAATTGATTGAAGATCTTATAAGCTCTCTTATTGCGCTCAGTATCCAAACCGGAACTATAATAACGACCACTGTTATAGGGTAAGGGAACTGTATCCAAATAAGATTCGGAATTCAAAATGTTTTGTAAATTATCATAAGCTTTGTTTCTATATGAGGAAGCTAAATAATAACAACAACAACAAAAAAAAAACAATCAATACATAAAGACGAAACCAATAAAAACAAAAACTTACCCTTCGAAACGGGAGCATAGTCATCAATATCACTGTAAACAACATTACCGGGATCCAATTCATCACCCCAAGTACCTTGAGGTACATCATTGCCCACGGCGGGTAGTGAATCGAAACTACCGTAGGGATTGTAATAACCGGCAGAAGGTGAATTATAAATACCACTATTGAAATCATTATTGACACCAGCGAGATTACCCCAACCCAGATTAGCGGCTGAGGCCGAAGAGGAGGCACTACGATAAGGAAATTGTTGGGCACTTATGCCACGTTTATTTATGGCTGAGGAGGTTTGTTCATCATCTATATCATCAGCATAGAGTTGATGTTGTTTCCTTAATTGTTCCAACTCATGTTGATTGGCGGCCACGGCAGCAGCTTCTACAGCGGCAGCAGTGAGTCCAGCTGCAATGGCCGAACTGATAAGATCGTTATTCTTTTCCATGGCATTGTTATTGAAATTTAATTCATTTCCCTCTTGCCTTTGTTGTTGCTGCTGTTGCAGTTGAGGCATTATGGATTTGGGTTTTGGAGGAGCTGTATAGGAAGCTGGTACAATTTCTGGACTTGATTTTTTATTCAATATGGCGGCGGGTGAGTTGTTGTTAAGGTGTCCATCATTTTTATTGCCACCACTAGAGCGTTTAACTAAGGATTAGAAAAGAAAGATAATAAATTAATAATAATTTTACTTAAACACTAAAAATTGTATTGATATTAAAGTTGAAACTTTTTTATTTAAAGGCAAATATTGTAAAATATGTTTGTGTGTATTTAGGCTACACTCTAGTATACTTGAACTTATTTACTTTATAATTCAATAACCACTATTTTCAATAAGATCCTGTGGTTTTTATACCCAAGTACTACTACGCACTAGTCTTACAAAACAGCCGTTGTCCCAGTTTCTTCACCCAGCTGGGAGGCAAGCAACATTAACAACATTTTTCTACACAAAGTGTATCAATGCCAATACTGGTTGGAATGTATGTATGTATGTGTATTTATAAACGTGCCTATGTTTCTATACATATAATTTTTTTTCTAGGTCTATAATCGAATATTTTGTAAAATGTTTTTAGTTCAAACGTGTTAATTGAATAGATTTGAAATGAGTTTTTTCTCCACCATTAAGTGCTCCTACTTTTAATGTAACAGAAAAGGCCTATTGAGCCTATTTTTCACACATACTTTAGTAATATTTAATACAATTAAGCTAAATAGGAAGGGAGGTGAAGAAAATAGAAACATTTTCAATTTCTTTCATTAGTTTTGAAATACCCCGATTGGTTTTGTTGTACTGCTTAGCTGCTGTTGTCATTGTTCAAACACTTGTTGTTGTCATAATATTTAAGTCTTTGTGTGTGTCATTTTGTTGTGCATGTTGTGTTTTATTGACTCGTTTCATTTCATTCAAAAGTGTTAGCAGTGACTTTATGCATTGACGTAATTGGTCTTGCTGCGCAGTTATTTATTTTTCTTATATTCTATATTACTTTGCTTTTCCAAAATATCCTTGAAAGCCTTGCTGTTCCCCTTTTTATTTGTTGTTGAATAAATTCATTCAGGTTTTCTGCAACATTGTTTGCCACTTTCCGAAACACTTGTTGATTGTCATTGTTAACCCAATAAACATTTTTTTTTTGGGGATGACATTTGTGAATTTAGTTAAAATGTCAAGCGAACAAAAAACTTATTTCGTTTAAGAATTGACAGTCTATAACATTTACGCATACATATTTGACATTTCACCAAATGTGTGAAAATTGAAGATGCCTTTCTAGGAGCTTAGGGTAATAACTTATTAAGCCATTTCATGTACATTATTAAGTTTATTAAGATACTTGAATAATAACCCAGTAAACATTTTTAAAATTTTAGTAATGAGTAATGAAGGTAATGTAGTTATAGCTTACATTACTTTGTAATAAATGGTCGTTATCAATAACGTTATTTCAATTTGTTGAATACGATTTGTAGCCCATTGTCTAGAGCGTCTGTCTAACAAAAAGTTAATACCTGGTAAACATACTTTCATCCAATTAATTTTGGGAATCTCGTCTAACAAAATAAGTATTTATTAACCCCAAATGCAATATTACTTGCCAGTTGTAAGATAAGTTTTTACTGGGAAGTTTCAGATTAGGCCAAAAATCGATAATCGGTACTTAAAGAAAAGGATTCCGAATTTAAATTAAACTGTTATATTCGTTTATAACGAATCGTAACACATCAACAAAGCACGTGTCGTAAATTAAAAGTGAATTTCGGAAGTTGGATCTTAGATCTTTATGGATCAATATGTATGTGAACAACTTGCGTTATTAATATAAGGTGGCCTCCGGTAGGTTAGTGCTTAGTGTTTTAGTCTGGTAGACCGGAGGTGGTGGGTTCGATTCCCACCTGAGGCACTGTTTAAGGAGCGCACAACAGGCCCGATAGAGGCCTAGGTGTATTTCTTCGAATTTGATATCAGAATTATGGATGTAAAAGGAAAATATAAAATTAGGTTTGGCCCAAAAACAACTAATTTCTAGAAAGTTATTTCGATGTTAATTAAAACGTTGCAAGGCCCATTGGATTTTTCTTTCTAAACTAGTCCAAAACTTAAGGTCCCAAAAATAAACTATCAATACCTCTAGCAAATTTAATTGCCTCTGTGATACATCTTTAAGATGGTTCAGAGAGTGATTTATTTTAAGTTTGGATTGTCTACTGTTGGAATCATATGTTTTATTTCAAAGTGTCAACCGTAAATTAAAGTTATTGGTATATTGAGATATATACATTATTAACCCACTATCTAGTTAAATGAAAGAAAATAATCTTACCAACTAAATGGCCAATTACTAAAGTACAACATCTTCATAATCCTAATAATTAGACACATACAAAAATATATTTTCTTAGTTTATAATAAATTATTGCTCAGCAACAACCCCCAATCGAGACAAGGGTAAAAATCTCATTTGTTTAATCTTTTACTAATTGCAACGAGCTTCAATAAACCCAAGACACACAAACTCAAAATAACTCTTAATAAAAAAATAATAATTCTTATATTTTTTATAGAAAAAACACACTCATAAATAAGAAGAAAAAAATATATTGTAGAACAAATAAAGGCAATTAGAAGGATTATAGTTGTAAGTAAATGCTACTTGAACAACCAACCCTCAAGTAATTCTAATCCCCTTTTTACACAAATATTTACTACACAAATTGCATTTAAACCCACGTTTTAGAACTGGTGATGATGATGATTATCTTAAAACACCCACAGTTTTCTAAACTAGCAATAGCAAAATGTAAGAAAAAAATATATTAAAACCTAATTAAAATAATAAACTGCAGAAATAAATTATATAGATTTAGAGTTAAACCAAAAAGTAATTGAAAGAAATTGCATTAAAAATGGAGGGAGAAAGAAAGAAAATCAAATAAAAAAACTTAATATGGCAATTTATCATAAAACAGTTGCTTAGAAAACTAAAAAAAAACTTAAGAAATTAAATGCGTAGTTAATTATTATTTTTTTATTGAATTAACTCAAGAAATAACATTTATTAAATAATAAATAGCTTTTTGTGCTTAAGCAACAGGTGACATTTTAGTTAGCAACATACAATTTTCAATATTGTTTTCAAATCCCCTTTAACACGTGTTGAAGGTTTTATGTGGTAGTGGGTTTTTGGTTTCCATGAATGCATTTAAAGGTTATTTTGTGTAAACAATTTTTTTGTTTATTTGTATGTAATTAAAAAAACGTGATAATTGTTTATAGTTTGGAATTGAAGTCGTATTAAAGTTTATTGAAAATAATATTTTGACATTTTAACCAAAATGAACGACAGGCTATTTTCTATCTGAAAGATAGAAATTTTGTCTGAAAGATAGACCATTTTTTTAGAAATGTGGTATAAAAGACAAGGTAAACCTTCCTATAGAACTTTTGTTTGAAAGACAAACAATCCTTATATAGAAATATGAAAGACAGACAATTTATATAGAAATGTTGTCTGAAAGAGGGGCAACTTTTCAGACAAAACTTCACAGACAACTTTTCTATAGAAATACTTTCTGAAAGACGGACAACTTTTCTATACAAATGTTGTGTTAAAGACAAGACAATTCTTCTATAGAAATTATGAATGAAAGACAGAAAATTGTTTTATAGAAATGTTTAAATTTTTCTGTAGAACTTTTCAGACAAAACTTTACAGACAACTCGTTGTCGCAATCTAAACTTTATGCACATCCGTTGTCTAAAAGTTAACAAACGTTGTAAGCTCAAAATGCGTTATAAATAGTGAGCTTATCACGTTTGTTAACATTTAGACAACGGATGTGCAGAAAGTTTAGATTGCGACAACGAATTGTCTGTAAAGTTTTGTCTGAAAAGTTCTACAGAAAATTTGAAACATTTCTATAGAACAATTTTCTATCTTTCATTCATAATTTCTATAGAAGAATTGTCTTGTCTTTATGTTGTTGTATGCATGTATATACTTGACAATGGATGTTATTGAAAAATTTGGTGTTAATTTGGTACCAGGCGTGTACATTTTTTTCCTCTATGTAGACAATCTTTCTGCAGAAATGTTGTATGAAAGATGGACAACTTTTCTATAGAAATGTAGTGTAGTGTAGTGACAGACAATTATTCTATAGATAAGTGGTCTGAAAGATACGCAAAACTTTTCTATACAAATGTTGCGTGAAAGACAGACAATCTTTCTATAGAAATGTTGTCTAAAAGACATAATCTTTCTCTAAAAATGTGGTGTGAAAGACAGACAACTTTTCTATAGAAATTTTGCTTGAAGGAAATAGAAATTTTGCCTGAACGACAGACATGCGTTCTATAGAAATGTTGTATGAAAGACAGACTACCTTTCTATAGAAATTTTGCCTGAACGACAGACATGCGTTCTATAGAAATGTTGTGTGAAACACAGACATCTTTTCTAGAGCCATCTGAAATAGAGCCATCATTCCTATAGAAATGTTGTGTAAAAGACAATCTTTTTATAGAAATGTTGTCTAAAAGGTAGACATGTGTTCTATAGACAACTTTTTTATATGGAAATATTGTTTGAAAGACAATCAAGCGGCTTTTCAACCTTTCATATAATCATTGGCTGGACATTTCAACAAACAATTTTTCCACATTCATAATACATTCTTCCTTTTTATGAAAAATTTATATTTCTTATACAAATTTTATTTTCCAAATAACAACTTTATTAAAGGTCCTATTGTTGCTTCCTCTTCTTCTTGCTATACAATTTTTGTGTGGAAGTTTTTTTCCATTCCTTGTTTTTTTTTTGTATAACAATTGTCTCTTCTTAAAAACGGAAATTGTTTTCCAGCTGTTACTTGTCTTTGATATACACGTTAATGTAGTTAAGTTTTAGCAACTTGGGGTCATTTTTTTTTGCTCTGGCAAATTGATTTTCCTAATGGAAACTTTTTCGTTTATACATTTTCATTTAGTACAATTTGTTCTTTTATAGTTTAGGTACTTTACTTAGTATTTTAAAGGACTTCCTGTAATTTTCAGAAGAGTGTTTTATATGCTTCTTGTATATTTCTCTCTATTATAATTCAATTGATTAGCATTGTCATCATTAACTAGCGATGTCATT